TCATATTTGAATCAATGTTATAATTGTTATATTTAAATTATTTACCAAAATCTTAAATGATTTTCAAATGAATGAACAAAAAAAGCTACTAGTACGGTTGCCTATAATTGCTTACATCCACTTAATTTGAACTTTGGTGGAGAGTTATCTCATTGGCAATCATACCACTTCTCCTTATTTTTGTACTGTTATATGAGCGTCCAAGAAACCGCTAACCTTTCCCTATCCTGGGTAATATAAATGACGTCTGTGCGGAATTTTCATGTCGGCTTTACGGAGGCTGAACATGTAAATATTTAGATTTTGAGTGAAAATTGATCTCATTGATGAACATACATGCACCGAACTTCTACTTATTTTTACATTCATAATTATATGCCAGACAATGTAATATTTTTGCACGAAACAAGAAATGATAAATACCTTCAGCGCAATACATATCTATAGAAAGAGATACTGAAGACAGCGGAGTAAAGGACGACAGAAATTTCCAGCATCAAAATCTACCACTATTTGGTTTGATCCGTTTGTTTTCCATGTATATATAAAAAGAAGATGTGGTATGATTGCCAATGAGACAACTCTCCACAAGAGACTAAATGACACAGAAATTAACAACTATAGCTCACCGTACAGCCTTCAACAATGAGCAAAGCCCAAATCGCATAGTCAGCTATAAAATGCCCCGAAATGACAAATGTAAAACAATTCAAACGAGAAAATTAACGGGCCTAATTTATGTATAAAATAATGAACGAAAAACAAATGTGTAACACAGCAACAAATGGCAACCCCTGAATTACAGGCTCCTGACTTAAAACAGGCACATACAGAATGTGGCGGTTTTAAACTAGTTTGTTTGCGCAAAACCCTCCTGCTAACCAGTGATAGTGGTGTAACGGAAAGGCATAACATAAGAACGAACTATGCAAAACAATAAACGAAAAGCAAATATGAGAAACAGCAAAATATATACTATATACATTTATCATACTCACCTCTAAAAAAAATTAACGGTACAATAACTACAACGGCGGCACAAAAGCAATCGGTATTGGCTGAAAAAAAATTGCATTTTGAAGTGTTTATGTCATATTGATAATTGATGTTTTCAAACAATAAACGCAGAGCATTTCATGCGTATAATTGAAGCATCTTAATCTAACAAAATGAAAGTATAAGTACTTAACTTCATTCTAAAAGACACGAAAGCAACCTTTTAATATGTTATCTCAACGATTTTATTACTCATATTTGCACAAATGTAAGAGCTGTATACGTATATATATATGTCTGAACGTAATAAGGCGGGGGCACAAGCAGTATTCGAACAAGTTCACGTCATTGGAAGAATGAGGAGAAATTTTAACAAGGAATCTATCTTTGCCTACTAAGTAACCTTTCATCTAAGGTATGATGAAGTCTTTCGAACAACAGACATCACTTTTGTTTTGATTATTATCGTAGATGTCGTAAACGTGTTCAAATTCAACACAAGGACTTATTTTTGAAAAATGATATAACCAGTTAATTGAAAACTTTAAAGAAAAAAATTTTCTCCTATCAAGAAATGATATTTGTAAAAAAAATATGGTTTAAATCTTAAATTGAGAGAACAGTTTATGAAAATTTTTGTAGAGACCAACGGTTAATCTACAATATATTGTGTATAATAAAAAGAAAAAATAACAAGACCTCAAAGAGCCTCATTGCTAACTTATTATGCAATATTTTAAAACTGTATATATACCATCAAACATTTACAGCATGTTTGCCCGCAACAACAATTATACTCAACTTATTGTAACTATTGCCAAGTGTTTTGAAGGCGGTATTTTCAGTCATTTTTTTTACACTGCCATAAACAAACCGGAATTTGGTTTTCGAAGAGATTTTCATTTTTTTTTTTTTTAAATTCAGAATAGCTCATTTTGGGAAGTAAGGAAATTTGATGTTTTTTAGTGGGGGTGGGGGAGGGGGGGGGGGGGGTAAATGCACGAATTCGATAACTTGCTATGTAGATATAAGAAGATGTGGTATGAGTGCCAATGATACAACTCTCCACCCAAGACACAATTTGTAAAAGTAAACCATTATAGGTCAAAGTACGGCCTTCAACACGGAGCCTTGGCTCACACCGAACAGCAAGCTATAAAGGGCCCCAACATTGACTAGTGTAAAACCATTCAAACGGGAAATCCAACGGTCTAATCTATATAAAAACGAGAAACGAGAAACACTTCAACATCAACAAACGACAACCTCTGAACAACAGGTTCCTGACTTAGGACAGGTGCAAACAAATGCAGCGGGTTTAAACGTTTTAACAGGCGCCAACCTTCACCCTAACCTGAAATAATAGTGTTACATCACAACATAGAAAGACACACTACAAAATATCAATTCAAATGGCTTAACTCAATAAAAAGACATAATTATTAACAAAAACCAGTAAACATACACTGAACGAATAAGTTTGATCTATGACACAATGTAATGTTTGACATACATGTATACACAATCCCTTGTAGACCTATATAGCTTAAATGGAGTTTCATTGAATAAAAATTAAAAACTGCAGGAACGAATTTTAACAAAACAAATCAAAGAAAAAAGTCACAAACAGATTAACAATACCAAATTTGATTGAGGTAGGAAAGACGGGGACTTTTACAAAATAACTCGTAGAAAGTTCCTAATCAAATTCAGACTGTTAGAAAAGTCAATGGAGAAAGAATAAATAGAGCCACTATTTGGTCCTCAAAGTTGACATAGTGTTCAATTCTCTCAGAATCATGTTGATGTTATTAATAAAAGAATATAGTCTGTTCCCTTTAGTGCAGACATAATATTGTGATGTCATTGTGACATCGTAAAAAGGTTAAAGATTGACATAGTTGTACATTAAATAAGAGTGCATAAGCTGAAATGTTTCACATGCTTTACTGAACGGGATTCAAATTTATTAATGTATTTATAGATCAATACTTTACTACAGATATCACATAAAATTCACACTATCAATGATCTATAAAAATGAGGTCAAGGTCAAACAATCCCTGCCAAGCAAACATGTACATTTTATAATCATTCAAAACATCCAATATAGTTAGTTAGCTGCTGTAAATATTATCAAAGAAATCATGAACATTGATCTATGAAATGAGGTCAAGATCGAGTGGATCCCTTCTCTATACCAAATATAGTTGATCTATTGTTAATTGCATTATAGAGAAAATGAGATAATCACGAAACCTTTACCAATGAACTATGACGAGTTCAAGGTGGGATGACCACTACCAGACAGACAAATGCACCCTTAAAATCATTCCATACCCCAAATGTAGTTGACAGATTGCTTATTATATATGAGAAATGGACCTCATCACAAAAATTGACGTCGACGAATGAACCATGAAAAATAGTCATGCTCAGATGAACCCTGCCAGACGGATATATACACTTTACCCTCATTCCATACATCTACTTTACATGGCATATTGATAATTGTACCCAAGAAATCTTGAGCCCAACCAAGAAAAATTAACATTGATCACTAGTCTTCACCATGAATTTAGGTCAAGGTCAGATGAAGTCTGTCTTACGGACAAGTATTCCTAGCAATGATTCGTTTGTCCAATCACTCATAAGAACTGGAAAAATCAGGTGATAAAATTAGTTGGTCCATGAAAATGAGGAAAAGGGCAACAGACATATGCCAGACAAAAACTTCAGCACATTATGCATCTGCATACAATATATGAAGAAATCCAAGTATAAGTCTGCTTTCTGAAATATTATACACTTATTTACTGGCTACGAGGACAATAAACTTATTATAATAATATTGTACGAATAACCATTAAATAAGTGTTTTATTATACAGAAAGAAGCCAGTATATATTTCGGGACAATGCAGGGCTATTCTCTGTATACTGCAACACTTACAACTGTTCCAAATGAAATACTTTTGGTAAACAATCAATTTTGAATGAAGCGGACGACGTAAATATTCCTCGAACCTTTTTTCTTTATTGACACCACACAATAACATTTCCCGTAAAAAGACTACTATTATTAACTGGTTTTTAAGCTATTAACCAGTTGACAGTCTTTTTACTGGAAAATGTTTGCTTCCAGTAAATAGCTCATATCCAGTAAATAGTTTTTGAAACTATTACATTTGTAACCGATAAATAGTCTTTTCAGACAATTTCGTGAAAATAGTAAATTTAATCGTCCGTAATTTTATAAAGAAAATACAAACTGAGGTATAATAAACAGAAAGAGTACCAAACACTCATCAAAGTACCATGTTTATAATTAGATACACAGACGCATTAGGGGCACTCGAATTAAAACAGTTGAAAGGTCCAATTGATAATGAAATTTAGAGTATTCAAAAACAAAAAATCCATAAAATGTGCTAAATCTAGCGAATGCCATTTATGCTTGGGATTGAAAAACAATAGTGGAAGTATAAGAATGACTAATACCAATAAGAAAAAACAAGATTGATTCAACCCTAAAAATAAATACTAGCACAAAATTAATCGCAATGTCATGTGCACATGTAATCAAGCGAGTTGAAAAATCAAAAAATTTGATCATACGTACTCGCATAAAAAAGGTACCATGAAAGTATTAGTCCTCTTAATACTCGTGCGGTACCTGTCTTAATAGTTACAATTCTATTCTAGTACATGTCTTGTATTTAACAACTACATACATACATACATGTATATTGATATTTTTTTGCATGTAACTTTTTCAACATTTGAATTTATATAATAAAGGTTGCGTACTTCTAAACTTGATTCTTTGTTAATAAATTGATTAAACTCTGTTTACAGATACAAATAATAAATGACCCTAAACATTAAACCATATTTGAGTTCAATGACACTAGCTAGAAATATAATCATTTCTCCCCAAGGGTTATATTTGTTTATCTATTGGGGAGTTTTCATATTTCAGACATTCTGACAAATAAAAGTGTCTTCATTTGAAGTATTTTCTTTTATTAAAGTGTGCTGTTGCACCCACTGGCAGTTAAGTATACGTTTTGTTGTCAGGTCGTCAAATATGTTATTGTTTAAAAAAAAATTGACGTCTGCTATTAATGTGACCTCAAGGAGAATAATAATAATCAGATCCTTAAATTTCTTCGTGATCTTTAAATTTTTTACATTTGCTTGTACCTTATGTACATTTTCCACAGTTTTATGTTTAATTCCAACATATATTCATCCTCCATTTTCCTCCAATTCAGCAATTATACTACATGTTTTTCATTAGCACATTTATTTTTAATATTGATTCATTTTATAAATAGGAATTGTGTAATGTCGAAGTCTTTGTTTCAATGGCGGGAAAATATAGCGTTTGCTGATGACGCAGACGGCAAGTCAATAGAAATGGCAGGATCCTTTTCTGTTAAAATTTTGACAATTTCAGTGTGTCGTCCTTTCCACGCCATTTGCCATGGAAGCATTCCATCATTATCCGGAGCATAAGGATCCGCCTTATATTCTAGCAGTATTTGAACTATTTCTAAATGTCCTTCTCTGGAAGCTACATATAATGCAGAACGGCCGTTATTGTCACATTTATTAACGTCAGCGTTTTTGTCTAGTAACAATTTAACGATATCTTTGTGTCCCGCTTTGCATGCTAGGAGTAAAGCCGTCTGACCAGATTTATCTTCTTGTGAAATTTGGAAGTTGTGTTTAAGCAAAAGCATCACAGGAGCAATATGACCTGAATAGCAAGCTATATGTAATGCTGAGTAAGCTTTGACGTCATGTAAAACATCAGTGTTTCTTTTTCTCTTAAGCAAAATATCGACAACCTCGGCATGCCCCCATGCACAAGCTGTATACAATGGGGATCTTCCAATGAGATCGCATTGTGTTATATCGGCGTTATTGTCCAGAAGCATTCTAACCACAGACGCATGACCGCCTTCACATGCAGTATATAATGGAGAACGTCCACTTCTGTCACATTTCGAAATTGAAGCTTTTTGTTGCAACAACAGCTTAACAACGTTCGTGTGACCCCCTTCGCATGCGAGATGTAAGGGAGCACGCAGATTATGTTCACACTGATGAATGTCAAAGTTGTTTGCAAGTATTTGTTTGACTACACTTGTATGTCCCTGTTGACATGCAATGTGCAGCGGGGAAAATCCATTGATTGAACATTTATTTACATCAAAGGATGACTCAAGTAATGTTTTCACTATTTCTGAATGACCGGCTTTGCATGCAACAAAGAATGGAGATCGACCAGCATTATCGCATAGAAATCCATCCTCCTTACTTCTGAGAAGTAGCTTCAGTATCCTAAGATGACCCTCTTGGCACACAATATACAACGGCGTTCGACCAGATATATCACACTTTGAAGTGTCAACATTTTGAGTCAATAAAGTTTTTGCTATTTCGTAATGTCCGCCTTCACATGCAGCATATAAAGCCGAATGTCCCATACAAGTACTTAGAGATGTGTCCGCACCTCTATCGATCAACAGTTTGGCAACTGGGAAATAGCCTAACGTTGCCGCCACGTGTAAAGCTGATCGCCCAAATTTGTCACAAAGGTTGATGTCACATTGAAAATCAAGAAGCATTTCTACAATGTCTACGTGTCCTTCAAATACAGATTCAATTAATGGTAATCGAATACTCCTATAATCATTTTCCTTGTAACTGCGCGCTGAAAGTTCTTGTCCTTCTTCTTCAATTTGTCTGAGAAGTTTTTCAATCACACTTTGTCTGGTTTTGAGATAAGCTATGAATTTTATGCGATAAATATTATAATGTAGTTGTTGATTGTGAAAAGCACTGTATGTTATGCCCCTTTTTAAATCTTCTATCAGTCTATCAAAATATATTTCTTCTTCGTCGCAAGAGATAAATATAACATTTTCATCAGACGTGACTGCCTTACCGTTTTGATTGTCGACTGTGTCTTCGTCGGACGAGTAATCTTCTAAATCAACAAATGTATCTTCTTTTATCGACTCGAATCGAAATCTGTCACCAATAAATGTACTGTCTGCATGTGTAATGAAACATTCTGATAAATGTTGTCCGCAGACGACGGCACCAATATCGTATATTTTGTCATGTATCATTCGGTAGGAGTTGTCGGACTTTTTAATGTAAGTTTTCAAAAGAGAATCCAGGTGTTCTTTGAATTCTTTCCTATTAGCTTGAGTCCTGAGATCTACAATGCACTCTCTACAAATGTCCGAAATGACTGAACTAACTTCTTGTGAACTTGACCTTGGTTTTAACCACTCAAATTTAAACCGGTTATTGAATAAGATAACCATCACAATGGCACAATATTGCAGTTTGTTACATTGTTGTATAACTTCAAGGTCTTCCCTAATACCGTCTATCGGTTTTGTAAAAAACATCCTTGCATCTACAGTTGGCCTTCTATGATAAAGTTTGCACAGCAAAGGAAAAAAATCGTACATTTCAATTAAGTCTTTGATATAGTTGACAATACTCTTTGGGAAGTACTTGTCTGCGATTAGAATTCTTTCTTTCTGGAGAACTGAGAAATCTGCGGACAATAGATTGCATTCATTATTAAACAATTGCTTGAGTCTTCGAAATTGTGGGTCGTTGTAAATTTGTAAACGACAGGAAGCTAACAGTTTAATAGTTCCTTTAGCTAAGATTTTTTCTATTTGGCCAAGATGTGTGTACCACCAGTCAACAGTTTGCACATTTACGGTAACTTTTCCACAAATGTCATCGATAACAAAAACCTGGTGCTTTCTCGGGTCACTGTATCGAATAATGTCTGACAGTTCTACCACAAAGGGTATTATTTCGTATTTTCTTTGTTTGTGCATTTGAAGAGCAACGTGATGAATAAGTGCAGATTTACCATTGCCTGAACTTCCGGTTACGACGATACAGTTGACTGATTCTACAAGCTGGTGCACGTGATTCGTAGCTCTGGTTACAAAATAACGCTCTTCTTCGAGTTCCCAATCTGTGATACATTCTTTAAAGTGTTCTAAAATAAGGATTAATTGATTGTTGAATTACAAAAAAGCAAAACATGACAGTGTATGAAATATTGTTAACTATAGTACAGTGTAAAAATGTTTAATTCATAAGATGGAAACCTTAATTAGTTTTAAATAATGTGATATTAGATACAAAAATAGCCCATGCACTGTCTATATATATATTAGTTCAAAGAATGATGTACCTCACAAGGAAATGATTATTAATTGGATAAAAAAAGAAATAAAGTCAACTTTAAAAATAGCATGTAAGTACTCCTTATCATGAATAGCATTGTGATGTACAAATGGAGATAATAAAGAATCCCACTAACCTTGACAGATATGGTTGTGTGTTGGTATGAATTAAAAACAAGAGGCGGAACAAACACAATTCATAAGTTGAACAGAAACAGACAAAAAAAGAATTAGTGTAAACGACATCGCTGGTTAAAAAAATTGTTGAAAAATTTCAAAACATATTTAAGGGGGTACCTAACACTTTGACTAAAATATTGGCTCGTTTAATTTTCATAAAATTCTTACAAAATATTTACTTTGACCTGTTGACAAATATGTAAATATTTCAAGAAATTTTAACCACACAATTTACAGGAATATTTTCATTGGATAAATAGCAATATGACAAGCACTAATTATGATCATTGAGAAGCTTGATTTCTCCTTACCAATAGTATGTGATTAAAACGTTTAACTGATTTTCAAAGATTTAACTCCCTCAAATGTTCTGTAACCCCCCCCCCCCCCCCCCCCCCTTAAATAAGGTGTGAAAATAAATCTGGATAGAGCACTATTGCAGATAATTGCATTTACTACAGTTTTTTTTTTTGAAAGATAAGCATTTTTTCAATGAATACATTATCTTAATTTGACTATGACAGTGGGTCCCATAGCAACTTCTTTTAAATTGCAACTTCATATTCTTAATCAAATAATGTTCACAGTTTCATGTTTGTAATATACACTTTTTGGACAGAAGAAATTACTAAATTCAAATTAATCTTATAAAGTTTATCAATTATCCTTCTATGACATGGGATCAATAGATAGAGATACTTGGAAAAAAACGGCATGGGACATTTGCTCTTTTTAATAGGGCATTTACGCTTTTTTAAATGGATATTAAAAATATACTTAGATCTTTGTAAAACAATGATATGACATTTAAGATGAATAGTTGTAGGGTAGGTTAGGGTAATTTTCATTTCCATAATCTTACTATTAAGTTTTTATTCTATAGCCCAAAGATCGAGATTTTTTTGATTTTTTAGGCATATTCTTTTGGTATTTCAATGATAGAGGGTAATTTGATTTTTTGCGTCTTCTTTTTTCTCAACATTGGTTCTTAATCATTTGATATTTATGGAAAAAGAATTCCCAAAGTTGGTTTAGTGTAATTTTATTGAATCTTTTATTTCATATTTTCCAGAAGTATTGAAAGAGTTCTTTTTTAACAACAAAAAATAAATGACTATTTCTATTAAAATGGGGGTTCATTTTTCATTGCAAAAAATGCACTCCCTGTATTCAAATATTATATAAACCATTATAACTAATATTATTATTTGGAGATTAGCTACGATTTAGACAACAGATCAAAATATGATTGGTTTTTGTCTCAAACATTTATAAAGCGAAATATTGAATTATTATTTCACTGTATTATCAATTAGTTTGGTTCAATTTTGTTAGAATAAGCTCAAAGACGTCGTTGATGTTTTATTGGCTTGCAAGTCAATAATCAATATGATTTGAATTCGTATTCATGCGACCTTCAATTTCATTCTTAGCTGGAAATGAGCTGCTCATGTTAAGTTATTGAAAAGAAAAGAATGTCAACATTGAAAGTAAAAGAAGGGAGCCACAAAATTCAATCTAATTTCGAGTCTACCTCTTATGCTTGAAGGAATGGGATCTCTCATGGTTTCTATCTCTGACTTCAATCTTTGGTTTTCTGACGACAATTTTTCAACTTTCCTCGATAGTTTTACCATTTGTTGTTCTGTTTTATCTGGAAACAAATATACATGTATAATGTGTCTAAATATACATGGAATTTAGAATTATATAAAATTCAATGTTACTTTAGGACTATATACTAGTAGTAAAATTAAAGAATAAAATGTAAAAAGGGATTGGCTTAAATGTGGTAAAAGATGATTTTCTGTGAAGAATACAGATTGTGCTACTGGTCCATTGGATAAATATCCCTCCGCGATAAAAACTGTTTTAATTACAAGGCGATGGTTGTTTTAAATTTTTAAATCGTTACCATCGACAGGAGGAGAATTTTGAACACCGCATTATGCAGAATTATTTCATATCGGTTAAGAATTAGCTTCTATTATTGGATAACAAGGGGCCACATGACATTCTTTATTCTTCAGTAATAATTTCTATCGGTCTTTAACAGAAAAAACGGACCGGAAAACCGGTCGTTAACAGACTTGTACATGTTAATGACCGGTGGGGAGAGAGATGTCCCTTTAATAAAATATTTGCCTGATTTCAATTTTATATTGAAGTTGTTGAATTGTTTACCATATGTTTTCGTTAATTATAAAATTATAAGAAAAATCATTTTGTTTTCATATACTAAAAAAATGCACTTAAAAATAAAATGAATGGCAGTGACTTACAGTTATCACTAATACTGGTTCATACTCTTTCCTATAGAAATCGTACAATAACTCGAGTTTGTTTTGAATTTGAATTTATGAGAATTTTTAAAAACATAGTTCCTCAATGAAATAAACATAATAGTTATTGAAGAATTGGTCATTATCATGATACATGGACTTCCCGTAGGACAGTGGAATTGACTGCGACAACAGTGGTATTGACTGCGACAACAGTGGTATTGACTGCGACAACGATAATGACCTCGCCTACGGCTCAGTTATTATCGCTGTCTTAGTCAATACCACTGTCATTTGGGCAGTCCATATATCACGATAATGACCAGTTTTTCAATAACTATTATGTTAAGTAATACAAGTTTTGTCTGTCTTATGAATTTGCTGCATCGCTCTATCTGGCAATCTGCACTTTTCAATCTTGATCATATCTATCTATGTCTGGCTTTCTATGAAAATTGTTTTTATATTCTGAACAATATACAGCTTTTATATGTAGTAAATTGCGGAATTGAGAAGCAAGACAATTTTGTTTAAGTATAAGTCTGCACTTCGAATTCGAATTTAAAACAATATCAAGATTTGTTGATTAGTCTTGATGAAATAGTTTTGCAATATATTATACTGTCTTATTCTAAAGACCAAAAGTTACAAAATTATTATGTGTTATAGTCTGGTTCGCTCCCTTGTCAAGGAGATAGCTTGTGTTATTCTTGATTGCAATGTCCGTTAATCAGTATACCCGTTCTGTCTCGGAGTACGGACACAATTTTTTTAAACATGTTTTGCACAAGGATTCCACAGAAATTCCGTTTAGAATTGACGTCATATGAAAATCCGCTAAAATGACATACCACATCTTCTTATTTCTATATGTTATATATAATTGGCTGAAGGTACTGGAAGAAGTTGACTGGTGATTATCCGATGCTATGAAAATCAATCAGATGAACGACTATAGAAATTATTTCACAATATAAAAATAAGGAGATGTGGTATGATTGCCAATGAGACAACTATCCAACAGATTTCAAATGAAGTGGATGTAAGCAATTAAAGGCCACCAAACGGCCTTCAACAATGAGAAAAAAACATACCGTATAGTCGGCTTTAAAAGGCCGCGACATGAAAAATGTGAACAATTTCAAATGGGAAAACTAAAATAAAAATGACCTAATTTATAACAAACCAATTTATGAAAAACAAATGTCTTCCTTACCTGCAAACTGTTCAGCAAGTCGCTTCCGTTCTTCTTTAGTGACAACAGTTGTTTCGATATCTTCAGCAATGCTGAGACATTTGTCACCTAGCCTTAATGTGTCTACGAACCGTTGATAAGCAATTTCATCCTTCAACATCAGTATGTCAACTAGTTTTCGATTTTGTTCTGTCAATGTTGCTTCAGACCGGATGTCGTCGTAATCTGTAAAGCTGAGTACGTCTTTTGCCAGCAGAAAATCAAACATGCAATGGAATTTCACACTGGCAATCTTTTTATAGTTTTTTTGAAGTCTGACCTTATATTCTGGTACCAGATTTTCGAAGTTTGACTCTGTAAGGATATTAATTCTTAAAGTCAGTCTTTTTTTTTTCTTTGAAAGAAAATATAACACAATGTAAACATACCAAATCACATTAAATGCGCGCTACATGAGTTTTTAGTATAACCTTCAACATGCACGCTCACAAGACCAAACGCGCAGTTTGCCAGGTACGCTCGAATTGTCAAATAAGTGCATCAAAATAAAAAAAATAGTGTCTTAACAGAATAGCTAAATTTTGCCCAAGGGTAATTCCACCTAGGTTAAGTTTAAGATAATATAACATTCTTGTGCCGATGGTTTAAGAATTGGTGATGTGTTAGTGTTAGATAAGACATTGACTATAAAAATTAGATGAGGTATGATTGCCAATGAGACAACTACCCACCAAAGTTCAAATAAAGTGGATGTAAGCAATTATAGGCAACCGTACGGCCTTCAACAATGAGAAAACCCATCAATCTGCTTTTATATGATTCATACTCACTTGATATGACTCATAAACGTAGTATTCTAACAAGAAAAACAAAGCGGCTGTCTCTAGTGGATCAGAACCTGCTGACACTTTCGGAACACTTGAGATCAACCCTGGTTTTAGTGGACAGTGTGTTGCTATGTTTTTAGCTTTCTGTTTTTTTTTAAGACTGTCTTTTCGTCGTTTTTCATTTTGGTTGTGGTGCTGCCTGTTCTTTCTGCGGCTTATGGTTTTGGTTGTCCACATACTCTTCTTACACTTTTTAACTTTTTGAATAACAGAGGGTGTGGATGGGGGTTTATAGAATAGAGAATATTGGGCAAAAATATAAAGAACAGAGAAAAGTAGACAAAAAAAATAAAGAATAGAGAGATAGAATAAAGAGGTGTTAAAATATAAAGAATAGAGAAAAATGGCCTAAAATTATAACGAAGACAGAAATAAAGGACCCCTTTTTGAAAATCCTTCCATTTATGACATATAGTTCTCTGTAAATTAGTTCAGTATTGTCAAAAACTAGGTTTACATTCCCTAAGACTAAAAAACGTTTGGCTATTTTGTCCCTTTCGAATATGTTGTTCCAGATATATTCATCTTTGGGGTTCCAAAATTTTGATTCTTGAAAACTTTTCAAGAGCAGCAATGAGAGAACTATATATTCTGTCAACTTTTTCAAGCCTGAATGCTTTATAGCAATAAATTCTAACCTTCTGGTAAATTCATAGGTGAACTATCATATTCATCATACGCCATAACATGTCGGTCAATTTGTTCAAGGAGGTTGCTATAGTGGCTGTTTTCTCTTAGTAAATCTACGAATACTTCGCATGCTATGTCTCCTCGACTAAGTATTACTTCTAAGAACATTCTGTTCTTCCTGGCAAGAGTTGGCTGAGCATCAATAAAGGCTCTATCGTCGACGGTCAAAGCACAGTAGGATACCATGTCATCTAATATGTCGGCCAAATGAAGAGAATTGATAATTGTCTCAGACATTTCTTTTATCCGGGTTTTGTAGTCTATCAAATGACCATCTGCCGTTGCCACTGGAATGACAAAAGTATATCAATTATTTACTTGATATTAATAACATCATTATTTAAGATGAAATATACATTTTTTTTAAGTTTATGATATAAAAATTCTTTGCATCAAAATTGAGCATGTTAAACCACAGTGTACACATGTGATCTATAACCCTAAAGACTTTTCATATACCGAATCTTTGACTTGAAGAACCTTTCTTCTGAAGGAAAGGACATGAAGTTTTACCCACATCCTCAAATATTTGCATCCCTATTGATAAAACCAGGTATATTATGCCGTCGTTATTTTTATAATTGAAATATTTGCAATGAGACGTTAAGCAAACAGCAATCAATCAATACGTGTTTCAAACATTGAAAAGGATATTTCATGATCGACAGAATAATTTTGAATTAAAAGCTCTAAAGATGTACCCAATAACTTGAATTAAAATCTAATAGAATAAAAGCACAATCCCATCTATATCCTCATTGATGCATCGGTAGATATTAAACCGAAGGTTGCGTTAAAACGGATGAAAACGTCGGAGTGATTGGTTTCTATCTCGCAGTCATAGAGCAAATAGCGAAATTATCTAATAGATATCGCTAATAATCGGAAGTTGAAATTTTTGGTGTTCATCATATATCTCGTGCTGTCCATATGATAAATTTGAACGAGCATAAGACAGTGAGCATTACCCGTCGTCAACCGGAAGCCATTATTTCATCATCAAACATATTATATAACAAGTCAAAAGATATTTTTTAAAAGCTGTACGTACAAACGATGGTTTTTGATTATCAGAATGCTAAAGAAAGACATAGAACGGCTTGCTGCCAGTAGAGATATAAGATTCCGGAAAGTGAACGGAATAAACTCTGTTAGTCTCTATCATAATTGATGGGTTGTGCTCAAATCATGAACAATTTGAGGAACATGTCTTATGCAGTATTGAGACTCAACTTGTACACTTTTTCACAAGGTCGTCAATAATGTGTTACATGATTATACGTATTATTTCTCAGATGCTCAAGTTTTTTTGCAAATACCTCTCCTAAATATATTTGTTCGATATATGGCATTTGTAAACTAGAGGTTCTAAAGAGCCTGTTCCGCTCACCTTGTTCTATGTGCATATTTAACAAAGGACACTCTCCAACATTGTAGACGAGGATAGAATTCATGACAAAAATCTCTGTTTTGTTGATCTTGTATTGATGATCATTTAGTCTGTTCAGTTTCTCTCTATCTTCTTTAGTTTTTGCTCAAAACACAAAAGAGGATAACAAAATCCTCATTAAAGGGCAATCACTCCTATAAAGAGTGACAGTCTACTAACTATATCGGCAAACTTTGACTTGTTAGTAGATCTTGTCTTGCTATCAATTTTGCTTATTTTAAAGTTTCTATCTATCTATTTCAATTTTAATCATATAAGGCACAACGCAAACAAAATGGTAAAATTCGTCATTAAAGGACAATAACTCCAATAAGGTGTCATCGAACGATTTCCACCGTATGTTATTAATTGTAGATTGTAAATTTTCTCTATTTATTATAGTTTTCAAGATAAAAGGCAAAAATAAAAAAAATGGTAAAATTTGTCATTTAAGGGCAATAACTCCTATAAAAAAATTAGTCTGACAGTTTTGACGTAAATGGACAATAGGTAGAGCTCAACATTTTGAACATTTCTGCCTTGTCAGATTTTCTTAATTATAACGGGTTTCAAAATAATAGACAAAACTTGCATTTTACCCCTATGTTCTATTTTTAGCCTTGTCGGCCATCTTGGTCTGCAGCTGGATCATCGGACACATTTTTAAACTAGATACCTCAATGATGATTGTGGCCAAGTTTGGTTAAATTTGGCCTAGTAGTTTCAGAGGAGAAGATTTTTGTAAAAGTTAACAGACGACGACGGACGACGGACGACGGACGACGGACGCCAAGTGATGAGAAAAGCTCACTTGGCCCTCTGGGCCAGGTGAGCTTAAACGTGAAATAACCTATTTACAATGAACTCGTATCCTACATCTCTTATGTCAAAATAAGCTTCATCCATTAAAACGAACACTTCCTTTTATTGTCAAAAAATACCGCCAACATTGTCTCGTTCTAAAAACTGTGTTGTACTCCATTGTGCGTAGAATAAAAAAAACCCAAACAGCCTCAAGAGTATTCTCGGTAAATCTTAAAAGCTCAATGATCTGACGAGTCTAGTGATATTCCTGATACGAATTAAAAAAAAAGGAAGCTAACTCTTTTGTCAAATATATCAATAATAACACTTCCGTTCCTCTGTTCAAAACTTTATATGGTTCGGAGGAGTGTTTTGTTTAATCATGGTAAACTGGAGAGAGATAATATTTCAATGCTTTGTCGAACATTCTTACGTTTTGTTTTTTTGTTTACACCACTGGCATTGCTTTAGGCAATCTGATTAAGCTATTGGTTTGCTTTTAATATGAAATGTCTCTTGAAAAGAAACACCAGTTAAAGAAAGATTTGTTTCTGTATAAGTGTTTATATATTTCGTATATAAGATTATTCATAAATGAAATTTACAAAAAAACTGAGTTTACATAAAGTGTGTGAAGTCGTAAGTTCAATCTTTGTCTGGCTCAAACCAATGTTTGCTGCTTCTCTTCCAAGCACGAATAAAGAATAGAGAATAATGGGATGCTGAAACATACAGAATACAGAATAAGGGTCAAAATAAATAAAGAAAAGAGAAAAAAATGGTCTAAAAAGTTTTAAAAAATAAAGAAATTAATAACCCTCATCCAGACCCACATTTAAGGATGAGAGCAAAGACAAGGGTCGCCATAATACCAGGAAAAGGGGTCAAAAATCCTGCAGACTCATGTTGAATTCACCCTTTCGTCCGATGTCTTTTTCGTATGTCGTTAGGTTTATGTCTCGTCTACATGTAACCCACATTTCAATAAATCACATCTAACAAACATATCATCATTCTTTGCTATGCTTGTACTAGTAATTAAGCAGCTATCACTCAAGTAATAAATATAGTCATTTTGGTTCAGTTGCTAAATTTTTAGCCCTCAATGCTCTTCAACGTCTTTCTTTGGCCTTTTAACTTTTTTTATTCCAAAATTATAAGCCTGGTATCTTTGATCAGTTTTTTTTTGCCATTGTTATGTAACGGCTGACATACGTGACGACATGCCTCTTAGTAGACTGGTTGGTACCCGGCTGTAATTGGACAAATTTAAAGGCATTCTAAATAGTTTACGGAGTGAGTCAACCTAGCTTCTCGGGTATTCAGAAACAAAGCAACAGTCAGTTAAAGAGACTGACATAAAGTATACAATCGTCTTATAGGTTTCTTATTATTTAGACATGCACGTTGGACAACAGAAAGTGAGCTTCCACATCAGACAGAATGTACATTTAAACGTAAAGAGATTCGGTATGACCGTCACTAAGACAAGTATTATATCTACGAGAGACCAAATGACTATGATGTAATAAATTATAGGTCACCTTATAGACTTAAAAAATTAGCAAAACGAATACTGTAGTAAGTAGGCTATATATGACACCCAAGCATGGCAAATTGTGAAACAAATCAAATTGGAAATCCAACGGCCTGATTATAGTTCAAAACAACGGTAACCACTGAATATCAGTCTCCCAAATCGAGGAGTAATTGACGTAGAATTCCGAGAACTGATTTTAAAATGTTTATTACATGTACACCTCTATTTTAGTCTGGCAACAGACCATTCTCGGTTTGGTCTCATAGACGAATCATTGTGTATGAGGGCGACTAAAATAAACAAGTTATATCTATAACAGTTGTATCGCTTTAAAATATTGATAAGAAATGATCGACAAATCTTTGTTTAGCTGTGATTTGATTTTACTTGTCAATGGTTTATCAATGACGTCATTTATATTTGTTATTACAGAGTATCAAACATATTCAGCATTTCATGTCATTGTTCGACAAGGGGACCTTTGGTCACGGCTGAGAATAAGAAGTCGTTTTTACAAATTCTGTTTCAGAATTACGCTTTTTTAAGGAGAAGTCAATGCAATATTGACCAGTCATGACAGAATCACTGTCAGTGAAATAGATTAGATTTATCGTCTAGGAAAGCATGGTGAGAAGACTCGCCCGATACCAGTTAAGTTTTCAAATTTTGAAAGCAGGGATTTGGTGAAAAAAAGCGCAAAAAATTTAAAAGAAACAGGTTTCGGTATTCAGAACAATTACCTTTGGATATTCAAAAACAAAAGAAAGAAAAGCTGCCGATCCTAAAGAAACTAAATCGAGGAGTAATTGAAGAAGAATTCCGAGAGATGATTTAAAAAATTAATGTTTATCTATTTTAGTCTGGCAACAGACCATTCTCGGTTTGGTCTCATAGACGAATAATGTGTATAAGGGCGACTAAAATAAACAAGTTATATCTATAACAGTTCAACTTGTATCACTTTAAATATTGATAAGAAATCGACAAATCTTTGTTTAGCTGTGATTTGATTTTACTTCACAAGGTTTATCAATGACGTCATTTATATTTGTTATTATAGAGTATCAAACACATTAAGGGCATACGATACAGTTACAGCGGAGGTAATGACGTTGCTAACGTGAATTGTTATTTTCACGACGTCAAACTGCGACTTATCGGGAAAAGATGCAGTTTTCGACTGTTTGTTATCATTCAAACTGATTTATCTTGAAAACGAGTTCATGGACCCCTCTTTTTTAAAATGACATTTGGTTTGATATTGTATGAAGATTATGTGTACCAATTTTCATGAAAAAGTCAATAATGCAATTTCTTTAAATTTGATGAATATACAGCAAAAAATGACGGTTTTTTTCTACATTCATGAACATTTGATAAATATGAGTTATTAGTAAAAATAAAATGCACAAATTTATAGGACATTTATATAAAACAGAATTTACAGATAATTTAACAAAAAACAGCTTGTGTTTATCTTTTAAAACAAAAAAGTTATGAATTTCTGTCGAAAGGAAAAATACGTCCACAAATCCGAATTTTGAGCAAATATCTGAAATTTCGACCTCAATTTACTCAAAAAGTAGCACATGAAGGTATATTTTTTATTACATATTTGGTTAAATCAGGTAAAAAATAGCCTATATGCAAATTTTCATTAAAATTTCATTATGGGATCAAAACTGTATCGTATGCCCTTAAGCGTGTCATGTCATTGTTCGACAAGGGGAATTTAGTCACGGCTGAGAGTGAGAAGTCGTTTTTACAAATTCTGTTTCAGAATTACGCTTTTTTTTAGGAGAAGTCAATGCAATATTGACCAGTCATGACAGACTCACTGTCAGTGAAATAGATTAGATTGACATAGTTGTTCGGGGTGTCTTTTAAAAGTAATACATAAAGTAGGAAACAATTGTATTAAATGTCTCCATTGACATGGATCGATGGGTCAGATTTAAGGACGATTTTTGTTGTGAAACAGATCAATAGCACATTTCACTATGTGAATGTTTTCATAAAAAAGTTCACATTACAATATAAAAACTATGAATTTCCAAACAATTTTACAGTCAATACGAACATGAACATGTCTTTATTTTCATTTCCAAAGAGTTAGCTGGATTGAATGCAAAATAATCTGAGGGTTATATACATATTTTTTACTTGGTTACACACACTTATTGTTTGAAGTCTAAATGGCAATTAACATTTGAATTTGAGTTTGAAATTATTACGTAATTCAGAGTTTTTTTCTATAGAAGTGAAAATATAATCATATTGGCAAGTTTGCGTGTTGTGGGATAGCATTTTTTATTCGTGTTTTGCAAAGTTTTGTATTAGCATTTTTTACCAACAAGTGTGCATCAGATGTCATTAAATACATTTCATAAAAATACTCACTTTTAAAGGCTCACTTCTGAAAATCAGAAGAGCATGAGATTCAATAGGTTTTAATCCTTGGCACTAAGGAATTTACACAAACGAGTGTGTACGCGAATAACGGGTAAATAAACAACATGTGTGGACATTTAACAGGGTCGATATTGGATTTTGTGTGTCGAATTTAATAACATACACTATAGATTAAATGACGTCAGTTCAAAATGAGTTTCTATTTACGGCTATTCATATATAGAATCAGAGAAACATAATACAGAATTAAGGGAAATTCCCGTATTTACCCTTTATTCCTCTCACACAATTTACGTATGAAAATATTGAAATAATTCAGAGGTTTTTTTTTATCTGGACAAGTTAATACGCAAAGTTTTTCAAGTGAAAGGTTAATAATGGAGTTTTTTGTATAATATAAATATCATTAATTTTCATATTCTCAATTCTAAACGAAAACTTCGAATGCAAGCCGTTGTTTTCGGAAATCTGGAAATTTAGTTTTTAAATCATGCAAATGGACTTATCGACAAGTAAATTACTATACCGTATATGCATGAAAGTCCCAAAGTCGATGGTCCATTTTTTTTGTAGTTTTTAATGACTTTCGGAAACTATAACAGCACACCCTATTCGAAGATTATATTTTCTTCGAAGGACAGGTAGGTAAGCCGATTTACATTTGTTCTTGGTTACAGTGATTCTAATGTAAAATTTTATATTTCACGTATTGCTATTAAAAAAAGTTATAAAAAGAGAAGGTTACTCAGTGCGTGTACAAATGTACTGTGTTTAAACCTTATAAATGCAGTTCGTTAATAGCAATATCTTGTTATTTGCAACAGTTTAGCATCGTTTTGAAATATAACGGAAGTAAAGGAAACGGGCGATAAGTCCAGGAACATCGTCATTAAATATTTATCGCATTTCTGAACTGGAACTTTCATGTTGGAAACGATTTAATTTTTAAACTGATAAATCAAAAATTGTAATTATAGTTGTTTAAGAAGTAAACAATTTCCTTGAACAAGAATAAGATTGATGTCACACATATAGAAGACAATGCATTGTTCATTTGCAGATCACTGAGGCGCAGCATTCTGCAAATCAATAACGAGAGTAAACATTTCCGTCTCACGGTGGAAAATGTCGTAAATAAATTTAAAAGAGACATTTTGTATCATGATTTTCTATGTAAATAGACAAAGAAACATCAAGAAAAAATATAAGTTTTGTCACGAAACCTCAAATGACGCACACTAGCATACCTTAACAACGGACCTAAAGTGTATGGAGAATTGTCCAGCTAAAAAATTCTAGACAGGAAGAGAGTTCTAAAGGTCGGCCCGATGTTCCGAAACACAATTAGTCAGTCACCCCCTAGTCCGCAGACACCGAACGACACACCGTTCCTGTGAATCTGTGTGGATTAAAGTTGTTCAGCCCAAATACAAGTAACTGCTAGTAGTCTGTTGTTATTTATGTATTATTGTCATTTTGTTTATTTTCTTTTGTTTCCTATTCTGACATCGGACTCGGACTTCTCTTAAACTGAGTTTTACTGTGCGTACTGTTGTACGTTTGGTTTTTCTACATTGGCTAGAGGTATAGGGGGAGGGTTGAGATCTCAAAAAACATGTTTAACCCCGCCGCATTTTTTGCGCCTGTCCCAAGTCAGGAGCCTCTGGCCTTTGTTAGTCTTGTATCATTTTTAATTTTTGTTTCTTGTGTATAATTTGGAGTTTAGTATGACGTCCATTATCACTGAACTAGTATACATATTTGTTTAGGGGCCAGCTGAAGGACGCCTCCGGGTGCTGGAGTTTCTCGCTGCATTGAAGACCCATTGCTGGCCTTCGGCTGTTGTCTGCTCTATGGTCGGGTTGTTGTCTCTTTGACACATTCCCCATTTCCATTCTCAATTTTATTACTACAATCTGTCGATCGTTTGGCATTTTGGCATTGCACAAGGTCATGTTTTTCTCTGACTGTTAATGACGTCTTTACACTAAACCAGTTGGATGTTGGATGTGTACTGATTGAAATTTTATTCTTCGATACATGCTTTTTTTATTAGTTGTTATTGGCTTTGAACTAGCTGTCAGTAACTGCGAGTACACTCAGATCTGTACTGAGTGTCCTTTTTGTTTTTTAGGGATGAGGGATGGATAAATACCCTGCCACGTCCGGTCTGTGTTTATGTTTGATGTTTTTTCTGCTTTGTATCGATCTAATGAGTTCAGCCTTTTTCAACTGATTTTTATTGTTTGTTCTTATGTTGTGCTGTTACACCACTGTCCCAGGTTAGGGGGAGAGTTGAGCGCTCACAAACATGTTTAACCCCGCCACATTCTTTATGTGCCCGTCCCAAGTCAGGAGCCTGTAGTTCAGTGGTTGTCGTTGGTTCATGTCTGCCATATTTGTTTTTCGTTAATTGTTTTGTTATAAATTAGGCCGTTAGTTTTCTCAATTAAATTGTTTCATATTTTTCATGTCGGGGCCTTTTATAGCCGACTATACGGTATATGTTTTTCTCATTGTTGAATGCCGTAACGTTGCATATAATTGCTTACATCCACTTTATTTGAACTTTGGTAGATAGTTGTCTCATTGGCAATCATACCTCATCTCCTTATTTTTATATTAAAACAGAATTGCCACAATAATTATCGATCAATGATTCCTTACAAAAGTAAATTTCTATTACAAAATCGATGTAGTTTAACTAACCAGTTAATTCCATGTTATTTCAATTAACACGTGTAGTATCGTGGATAAATATTCAGTTTATTCTGCAATCTAAAGACCGGACTTCAAGAGAGGTATAAAGCCGGTAATAGATTGATGTTTAACGTTAGGTAGAAATAAGAAGATGTGGTATGAGTGCCAATGAGACAACTCTTCATCCAAGTCACAATGTGTAAAAAGTAAACAATTATAAGTCAAAGTACTACCTTCAACACGGAACCTTGGCTCAGACAGAACAACAAGCTATAAAGGGCCCCAAAATGACTAGTGTAAAACAATTTAAACAGGAAAACCAACGGTCTAATCTATATAAAAAACGAGAAACGAGAAACACCTAATAACCACATCAACAAACGACAACCACTGAACAACAGGTTCATGACTTCGGACAGGTGCAAACAAATGCAGCGGGTTTAAACGTTTTAACAGGCGCCAACCTTCACCCTGACCTGAAATAGTAGTGTAACATTACAACATAGAAAGACACACTATAAAATATCAATTGAAATGGCTTAACTCAATCAAAAAGACATATTAACAAAAACAAGTAAACATACACTGAACGAATATATTTGATCTATGAGACAATATAAATACAATATAAAATAAAAAAGGGGGATGTAAAACAATGTCAAAAAGACAACTATAACATTGGACAAAATGGCGTTAAATAACATAACGTACACAGTTCAATTTAAATATTATAATTTTGTTGTTAGGAGTACGGAAATATTTTTTACAAAATATATAAATTTATTGTTCATAGTACCAGAACAGAAGTGAAAATTTATCGTCATACTAAATACTTATCAAAGGTGGTCCATATTAAACATAGTGAGACGAGATATGACACAAAATAAGTAAACATTGAATAACAAAAATGCATTACAAATTGTGTCAACAGGTCAAATTAACACGAAAGTACGTTTTGAGAGTACTCGCAATTACTGAACGCTAGTTAAAATCCAAAAACAATTGATAATAAATCAGAGACTAAAATCAACAAAAACACATCCCAGGGATTTAGTTTTTAACGCCACGGACAGTCAAAGAAGACATGACTTGTGCAATGCCAAAATAAAAGTATCGACAGGCAGTAGGATAGTTTAGATTTAACGTTATAATAAATTATGTATCGTGTTATATATACTTAGATAAAGCAATCTCTATATAGAAAATATAGAAAATGAACGTGGATGTGAATTTATTCATCCCAAAAAAACATTCGAAAAGAATACAAATTTAGCTATGTTTTAATTTGTTGATAACAAAATCGATATTTGTGCCAATGTAAACACTATTCAAAGATCTTATTACAACATTAATAAGATAACCTTTACTAATGAGTTTGATTAAAGGTTCGATGAGTTTACACGGTTCACATAGTGATTTCCGCGCTTTTAGTACAATATTACCATATATTTTAGGATGTGAAATACCGTTTTTACTAAGTTTCCTACAGGTGCATATTTATAATGGGATTATGTTAAACTGATATGAATGAGAATCCTAATTTCTTCTATAATGACAATCTAAGCAAAATGTTTACGTGCCAGCTAACAAGGTTACAGTACAGAGAAAGACATGTCCAGCGGCGGATTCAAAATAGGGCGTAGAGGGCGCCCACAAAATAATAAAAATCCCATGTTTCTCATAATATATATGAATTTTTAAGCATAACATCGTCCAAAATGTTTTAAGCATCGCTCGGTTCGGCGGTTTCTATTACCATTTCGGGAATTACGCCTCCTTTTATTATTCCTGGATCCTCCCTCAATGTATTACCATTGGATACATTATTATGAATCCGAGACGACAAATTTCAACTCTTACTACTTAATGCTTGTTTCTTAATGGAGAAGCAGTCAATGCCGATTGTTATAGTGGTTTTTATTTGTTTGATTTTTTGTTTGATCCGATGGTCCGTATTCAGGTGGTCGAACACATAGTCTCACGCAAAAGAAATGAGCACTCTATTACGATACTACCAATTATGAAAACCAGGGGATGTGGAGTATACATCAATATGACATTAACAGCAGAGGTCAACACTAGAGGTCAACAATAGACATGAGCTGTCTGTACATGTAAAGTTCTGAATTGCCCCGAGCCAAGACAAGTTGTATATTATTCATTAGAAACTACAAAAATGCCAAAAAACACCAATTTCCTTAAAAAAAAGAAAAAAAGAAAGAAATCAAAATAAACTATTACAAATAAAAAAACCACTGACGAGTTTCCTGGTTGTTAGACATTACTGTAACTGAAAGGAGTACATATATTTGCAGTTAGGGCCCTATTTCCCTAAAATATTAAGGCCATTATTATTTTATGTGATTCAAGTTGATGCATAAGTATATCAGAATGTAAAAAAGGTCGATTTATATATGTAAATGTCAATAGCTACTTTAAAAGAGGGACGAAAGATACCAGAGGGACAGTCAAACTCATAGATCGAAAACAAACTGACAACGCCATGGCCAAAAATAAAAAGACAAACAGACAAACAACAGTACAGATGACGCAACATAGAAAACTAAAGACTAAGCAACACGAACCCCACCAAAAACTGGGTGTGATCTCAGGTGCTCCGGAAGGGTAAGCAGATCCTGCTCCACATGTGGCACCCGTCGTGTTGCTTATGTTATTACAAATCCGGTAAATAGTCTAATTTGGTAAGTCACATTCGTGAAAAGGGAAGGGTATTGTAGTTACGACATAAGGAACATATCCGATATCATCTGTGAAACGGTTATTCCATAACGGTCAACCAACTCGTGATGGCGTCCGTAAAATTTACGAAGGGATGATTTCAACTTCAGCATTTGGAACTCTTGGCTTAATAGCTTCCTTGTGAGCAGCAATCTTCTATCAAGGAAATCATGATAGGAAACACAAGCCCGGGAATATCGTATCAATTGGGAGATATATACTCCGTATGCAGGCGCTGCTGGAATGTTGCTACATAGAAATGGAAAGTTCACAATTGGGAAGCTGAAATCATCTCTTTTGTCGTAAAGTTTTGTTTTCAACCGACCCTCATTGTCAATTTCTAGATGTAAGTCAAGACTTAATATTCGTTCCTAATGAAGGTAGTAAATAATACAACAAGCGCCTCGAACGCATTCAATTAGCGCCATTATCTGCGTCTATTTCCATGTTATGTAACTACATTGGTATATAAAAAAGGTAAACATTAATTTGGTTCCATGCATACAAACTCAGCATAAAAATTGCTAATACTATTTGATGCCTTCAGGAACATGTAACTAATACACAATTAATTATGTATAACTTCAAAACGGAGAAATATTGTTGTCAAATATTTTGTGAAAAGAGCATCTGGCCTTTGTTTCATTACAGCAGATTGTGAGATTGAGGCAATCTAAACGAGAGTTCAGGGTTCATGTCGTCTCCAGTTTGGCTAGAGGGGATTTCATATTCGTACATATAGCATATTCAAAACTAGACTTGTACCCGGCAGTTATTTTATAAGTTTGACAATACTTAAATTAATAATTGTATATTCCGAAGGCATACCGAATATTTTCCGGAGGGAACCAACTTAATTCAAAACGAATATTATCTTTTTGTAAGACATTACTACAGAATAACAGAAGTCCAGACACATTTTAAAATTATGAGTAAGCGAATGCTTGATACTCAATCGAATTAAAATATAGATCTGCGATTTCGGTATGCTCAAAAGAGTAACAGAGATAAGTGAGCGAGTTGAGAAAGATGAATTTCAATCAGATTGGCTTAACACTCCCCAATGAATTTCCCGTTTCGATTAAGACTGGGGTGTATTCATTTTGGTATATCTCGGGGGACGACTATTTGATATTCTTGGGAGCGCAGGAGGATATTTTGCAGATCGAATATTCACTTACATCTGTATATGTAGCTACGACTGCCAATTTATTTTCACTTTTGTACACAATTACAAGCTGCATTTTGTGTTGCAGAATCTTGTTTTGGGCAAGATGAATCCTTTGCAGGTCTTACCAGGCCACAATATTCATTTTCGAAATCCCCCTCATTCCCCCAATCAAAAAATAAAATGGTCGTTCCCTAGCCACGTGCATGTTGCATAGCCAAAAATGACGGCAATTAAATCAAGAATAATAGGAGTGAATATATAGATACATTGTAATACTTGAAAAATAAGTTGAAAAAGGCTGTGTGTACTTGATGTTTATGAGAAATACTAAATCTAGTCTTCATAGATCCTGTGATCTTCTGAAACCAATTGTCTGGAAGGCTTTTTTGACAGAATGTTTACTTATCCGAAGACCTACTAGTACGGAAGATGGTAAGTAAAATTAGATTACTTAATTCTGCAACATACGCCATTTTAGACTAAGATTAACTAAAAACTACAGTTTTTCAAAAAGAAAAAGAATGTCATTTTTTAAAATGTATCTTGGTCGGTAAGCAATTGCTCAAGTATGTAGCAATGGAATTCAATTTGTATTGCTGAAATGCAATGCATGTGCCTCCAAGTGTACATCGGGCAGGGTATAGAAATTGTTCTTATTATCTCCAACCGAGATGTACGACACCAACACTCCTCAAGGGCATCCTCTCAGCTGTGCGGGATGTTTTTACCCAGCAACGTCCGGCCTTTAGTTTCTTTTTTATTCTTAAAAATAATACATGTGAAACAGTTTACGTTAACTGAATAGTCGACCTTTTATCACCCCCAGTTTTTGGTGGGGTTCGTGTTGCTCAGTCTTTGGTATTCTATGTTGTTTTGTGTACTGTTGTCTGTCTGTTTGTCTTTTTCATTTTTATCCATGGCGTTGTCAGTTTATTTTCGACTTATGGGTTTAAATGTCCCTTTGGTATCCTCCGCCTCCCTATTTCGAAGAAAAGACCCAGTTTTCTTTTGGCTTATTTGCTGGTCAACGGGCGACAACTCAAATTTTCCTAATAAATCAATCCCTGTATCCAGGATGAGTTTATTTTCAATATGAACTGGTATGTGTTTAGTATGATATCCGTCCAAAATATCAACTAGACATCGTGCGTTTTATTACTTGTACTTGCTGTGTTCCATTATTAAAGGAAAATCATACAAATTTTCACAAAAAATGATTGAACATGTTTTGCAGATAAAATGAAATAACAGAACATTGTTTTGAAGTATTTTAAGACTGAAAAATACCTGGCGCTTTGGGCATGGACCCGCATGCCTTTTCCTGATCTTTTTCCTAGTCTACAAGTATATTTTTTCATGGCCAGCGAATAGCATCCCGCCAATACCACGGACGTGTGCATACCATAACACTTTTTTAATTATCAATTGTCCGACACATACTGTCACATTAACAAATATTAACACGAAAATGAAGTCGTGCATTTGCTCATCTCCGGCGCATTAAATGCACACTAAATGCATCATATTTCTATTAAATCATACAAATGCGGACATGCATCAATTGAAAAAAGGGACTTAGAATATGGGGACAGCACGTATACACTACTATTATTGTATCATCGTATTTTTGAGAAATGCACATGAAAAGAAATTTTATTAACAAAAAAGGACACCGACAAGAAAGAGGGGTTCAAGCCCCAAGTGTTTGAGCATTGATTGACATGGAAAACAGGTTTGCCCACTAGGTGATTTAAAGTGTGTAACTGAATTATAGACCGTTCCAAATCAAATTGAGGTGTTTGTTTGATTCTCATGAAGAAAATAATGTCAAAATTAAAAAAAATAAATTCCGACAGACACAATACATATAACGTTTATATCTAGTTTCTGTCATTGCCTTAAATCTTTTCAAAGTACACAGGTTTTTCAGTAATCAGAGTAAAATGTGTGATGTTAAAACCACTTTATTTGTCAATTATACCACCTGATATGAACTAAACCATCACACAACGACATTTTCGATAACAATTCAAGCAGCAGACAATCTTTTTTAAATATAGATAAATTTATATATCATTGTTATTTTTTTTAGTTTCTTTTGTTACCTATTCTGACATCGGACTCGGACTTCTTTTAAACCGAGTTTTACTGTGCGTATTGCTGTGTTATTGTTTTTTTCTACATTGGCTAAAGGTATAGGGGGAGGGTTGAGATCTCAAAAAACATGTTTAACCCCGCCGCATTTTTGTCCCAAGTCAGGAGCCTCTGGTCTTTGTTAGTCTTGTATGATTTTTACTTTCTTTTATATATTTCGGAGTTTAGAATGACGTCCATTATCACTGAACTAGTAAACCTTTTTTTTAAGGGCCAGCTGAAGCACGCCTCCGGTTGCGGAATTTTCTCGCTGTATTGAAGACCCATTGGTGGCCTTCGGCTGTTTTCCGCTCTTTAGTCGGGTTGTTGTCTCTTTGACACATTCCCCATTTCCATTCTCAATTTAATAGATCTCTGATTTCATTATATTACGACGAGAACGCCAGTTCCGATAGCATTGGCGGATCCAGGGGGTAATCCGGGGGTTGGAACCCCTACTTTTTTTTATTATTATTATTAAATGAACTGTTCATGGTGTTCCGGGATTGGAACCCCCTTTTCAAAATGGCTGGATCCGCGCCTGGATACTTCTGAATTTAACCAGATTGAGCAGCAGATATAATATCCAAAAGAATAGGCGCTTGAGACATCGATCCCCTTTTTTTCTTTTCGGTGTTTATTCTTTTTAAATATACGTGAAAAAATAAGATTAGAGGGCAGCACGAAACACGTATTGTCAATGTATTTTTGTTCCTCCCAAATTTTTTTCTGTGAACAACTAATATGAATTAACTTACAAAAATTTAACACCGGAAAGCATAAAAAGGAGTCCATTTCCCACGCGCCAGTGTCCTGAAAAGGCTTACTATAAAGTCACAAACTAATTAATAAGATGGATTTATCATGGATGACATATGGATCGATGGGTCAGATTTAAGGACGATTTTTGTTGTGAAACAGATCAATTATATCACATTTCACTGTGTGAATATAGTCCTAATAATTTCGTATTACTATGTAAAAAATCAGAATTTTCATACAAGTTTACAGCCACTACCAACACGAACATGTCTTTATTTTCATTTCCAAAGAGTTTAATTGAAAGCAAATAATTTGCATATAGTAACAAGGTTGATGTCACTAGTGAAGCATAACAAGTATACCCGGTTTAAATCCTCAGACTTAACTTATGTGTAAATGTTTGATAATGTGGCATGGGATTATGTGTCAATCAATAATTAAAACATGTTGTATGGTATGAACATGCTCACGGTACGGGTTGATATTTGCTGGCGATGAAAATATTTACTTGGCGACTAGGAGAGAGATCAGAAGAACCACCAAATTAGTGAGTAGATTTTCATTTGATAACAATCCGGGGTAACCACCTTGATATTTTGAAGAATCACAGGCGTAAGGATCATCAATAGGTATTGACAGCGAAGTCAGTCACGGCTGGTAATCTACACACGCAGAACAATCGGTTCTGCAATGAAAACCGTGAGAGGATTTTCCGGTTATGCTTGAGTGGAGTAATTGTCACCGCTTCGAAAGGTATGTACATTTCTAAATCGAAATTTTCTAGTTCAATTGATCAAAATATTGAAAATCGGAGAATGCTATGCTGTGGTGAATACTTTAACGAAGAGACACATGTATCATTAACTGTTGTGCATGGAGTAAAACTCCTACAAAATCAATCGTCCCACGAGTAATTGATGAAAAAAGTGACATTTCAATTTTGAGATGGTTCTATTAACAGACCTACAAGTTCAAATTTAGTTTTTTTTCTGTCAACGGGATTGAATGTCGTTTTGGGCGGCGTGTACGCTGTCCGAAGTTGAAAGACGTCGTAATTAATCTAGAAACTGCCAATTTTCATTATTTCATGCGTGAGGGGATCGGTTCTGATTAAGGACATCGTGAATGCGTGAGAGGAAGTGCAATTATAGTCAATCATAAATCTAAACCACTTATATTTACGTTGCAGCCATTTCCATATTCATTGTCAATTTATATTTAGTATGAACTTCAATAAAACTGTGCAAGTTACTTGCCTTTCTTTGAAAAAAGTAAAATCACAAAAATACTAAACTCCGAGGAAAATTAAAAAAAGTCCCTAATCAAATGGCAGAATCAAATGATAAAACACATCAAACGAATGGACAACAACTGTCATATTTCTGACTTGGTACAGGTATTTTCAAATGTAGAAAATGGTGGATTGAACCTGGTTTTATAGCGCTAAACCTCTCACTTGTATGACAGTCGCATCAAATTCCATTATATTTACAACGATGCGTGAACAAAACAGACATAATAGGTAAAGTTGTCAAAATAGGGGTCAGCAGTCATCACCATGTCACAATCTCAATTAGAACAAAAACAAACAAATATTTAACAAAGAAGCATAAAAAAGTATCTATCAAATTTAGCAACCACATTCATTGCTTACTTATATATGTATTTTAAATCAACCAATAAAGGATTGAAATATTTGAAGGCCTGTGACTGAATGGCAAGGTTCACATCAACTCTAGTGTAGAGTCGCGTGTTTGACGTCAGAATGTAAACGTCACACAGTAAGAGATATAAAATAATTTTGTCGTTGAAGTGATTGTTGCATTTTTCGATATAAAGATATGTTTGCACTTCCCCTCACGCATTCACGGTGTCCTCAATCAGAACAGTTCCCCTCACGCATGAAATAATGAAAATTAGCAGTTTTTAGATTTATTAAGACGTCTATCAACTTCAGACAGCGTACACGCCGCTGAAAACGACATTCAATCCTGTTAACAGATTAAAAACTAAATTTGAACTTGTAGGTCTGTTAATAGAACCATCTCAAAATTGAAATGTCACTTTTTTCATCAATTACTCGTGGGACGACTGATTTTGTAGGAGTTTTACTCCATGCATAACAGTAAATGATACATATGTCTCTTCGTTAAAGTATTCACCACAGCATAGCATTCTCCGATTTTCAATATTATGATCAATTGAACTAGAAAATTTCGATTTAGAAATGTACATACCTTTCGAAGCGGTGACAATTACTCCACTCAAGCATAACCGGAAAATCCTCTCACGGTTTTCATTGCAGAACCGATTGTTCTGCGTGTGTAGATTACCAGCCGTGTCAGTGTTTACACTCGGAATACAGACAAACGTAACCTGTGCCGGCCCACTGCAATTTAAAAACCGAAGGCACGACTAGCCCATTCTTATTTTCAAGCCTGTAGAAAATTGTACATAAACAAACACCAGAATTTCATTTGATACGCTCTGTTTAGTAAAGCAGTTTAAAACACACATGCTTGTACAAATGATATTTAGTTTCCATCTATTGTCCATGTCAATCAATACAATTCACAACAATTATTTCTTTCTTCTTGTAGGGAACGTCTCCAGGGGCGGGTTTAGGGGGAGGCAGGGGGCCGAGCCTCCTTTAAGGAGCTACATATATATGGTTAATGCATAGACTTATTACATGTTCCACTCCAAACGTTGACTAGTTCTACCCTTTTCAAAATCCTGGATCCACATCTGATCTCAAACACTTTTTCCATATTTTAGTTTCCGCAGACCAGGTACGAGAAAATGCACATCAAAATCCAGGGAACTTATTTATTTTCTGAAACACTTTATAAAATGCTTTTGAATTTTATTTATATAATTATTTACTTTTAGTATTATGTCCATACACGTCTTCAAGATTACTCTCCTAGTTAAACAGTTTTGTCTGTACTCAGTAGAACTGTAGAAATTAGTAGGTCTGTACTCAGTAGAAATTAGTAGGTGTAAACTTGACCCTCTTTCTGTAATTCAAGAAGAGTAAATCTGTATTTCAATTTAAATCTGTGTGTTTTGGTAAAAAAATAGAATATTGCAAAAACTGATAAGTTGACCAGTATTTACAATTTGTCCTATATTTACACCTATCAACAATTAATTGTAGGGAAATGCCAATATCGTGACATAATTTTCTTATTTCATAAAACATGTACTTAAATATTCTCCAAGATACGGACTCATTCCTGGCAAGGTTGTGTAACACGTCGCTATCCTCCCCCACCCACCCCCACCCCCTTTCTCTTTCCCGACCATCCTGTTTTGAATTAGACAGGAAGTTAATCACCTATTTTCTGATATTAAAAATGATTATGCATTGTTAAAAAAATAAAAATAAACAAAAATAAACAAATTATAAATTTGTTAGGGAAAAGGTTGTTCATACAAAAACTTTTTGGAGGGTAAAAACATATTTACAATTTTCATTACTGGAAATTGCACCATTTTTGGAATGACCGGATATTTTTGTTAACAAGAATGAAAAGGATTTCCGGGATGTTAAACATTTCGTTTGGTTGTTTCTTACAAACATAAATTCATTCTATGCTCATGTTTTACATTACTATCCTCTATAGGGTGCCTATGTGCCAGAAAACCAAGAGAGATGAGAGTCGTCCAGTTAAGGTGAGTACTTGACGCTATTTGACATGACTTGTATCTGAGCAGTTGTGGATCCAGGGGGAGCGTAGAGGGCGTACGCCCCTTTTTGATAGCCCCAAAAAATAATTATATATTTTTCACGATTCATATGATTTTTTAGCGTAAAATCGTCAAAAAAAAACGGTATATAATCCGTTTTTTTTAGAATTACGCTCCCTTTTCAAAAATCATAGATTCGCCCCTGCTGGTTTATCTATTCCAACTTCTCCTTATTTTTATACATGACGGTGTTTGACTTTGGTTTAACAAATCAGAAGTGGAATGATTGTCAATAAGAAAACGATCAACCAGAGATCAAATGGTGCAAATTTAAAGGGGGCATTAGCTACGAGATATAGAAAAAAATGAAATATGATTTTTTTGTTTGTTCAATCATTAATCAAAGTGAAATAGTGATACAATTATTCGCCTTTAGCAGCCAGTTTGGTTCAGTTTTGTCAAAATAAGCTATGCAACATCGCTAATGAATTATTCACTTGCAAGTGAATAATTCGACCTCATTAAATCCGTATTCATGTGAACTTCAATTGAACCCCTTAGCTATAGAGATGGGTTCCGCATAAACTAGGCGTGTTCAGCTATTAACAAGAAATGAAAATAATATATAAAAATTTGAATATCTCTCTCTCTCTCTCTCTCTCTCTCTCTCTCTCTCTCTCTCTCTCATATTTACATGTGCTGTGTATCTATTGCATGTTGTTTGCTCTGTTTTTATAAATAAAATAAAAAAGATATATATTAATACAATATGGTTGTAAGACACTACCATTCAGGCTAAATAATTAGCATATGGGCCACAGTTTTTTCAAGTGCAAAAACTCTTTCTGTTTATAATCATAATAGATTTAAGCAATTATAGGTCACCGTACGGACTTCAACAACGAGCAAAACCTATACCGTATAGAAACTGTAAAATGCCCCGTCATGACAAAATGTATAACAATTCAAACGAGAAAACAAACGGCCTGATTTATGTACAAAACCATACACAAACATGATCAGACATCAACCAACGACAACCGCTAATTACGGATCTTTAATATGGAACTAAACGTCATCAATGCATTGCATTAATGAATCCCTGAACACCCAAATGGAAAGTGCGCCATAGTGTAATGGAATGGTTAGTGTTTCCAACTCTGAAGTCATAGAACCCTTAAGGAATGTAGCTCAGCCGGAAAAGCTATAGCACCTTAACTTTCTTTTACTCCCCATTTTAAATAACCTAGAAATAATGTCATCATTTGTTTGCAAACACTTAACTAGTATATATAGTCTATGAAAAGGGGTATTTTTCATAATAAAAACTTTCTAACCTTTCGATATACTTTCATACGCTACCCAATCATCGTGACACGTCAGAAATTCTCTCGATGACAACAATTAAATACCACGTTGAATTTGTCTTTAATATTTCCTCGCATTTCAAATTTGAAAATGATATTTTTTTCCACATATTTTCTTATTTGCTTTTTCTCCAAATGGTTTTCATATAAGTGATCGTAAATAACTACATGTATGTAATTGCTTATCTTAATATTATCTTAATATTTTACAACAGGAAATTCAAAGGTCTTCGAAGAGTGTTTGTTATTGTCATCATCTGTTTGGTTGCCTTGGTTACCATGCGCAAATTTTCAACAAGAAATATAACAATTCAGAAAAATCCGGTACCTTTTGGCAGGAACGAGAGGAAAATCACAGTAGGGTTCCATGGGAGAGCAGGTAATCAGATGTTCCAATACGCTTCACTTATAGGAATTGCTAAAATGAATAACATGACCCCGGTTTTACTGGAGATTACAGAACTATGGAATATGTTTGACTTGCCTATAAGTACAGCAAACATGGATAAATCAGGGAAATATACAGAGGTAAAAGAGGAACATACTGCAGTGTACGCGCCAAAATTCGAAAATATCAAAAGTCATACTGATGTCTATCTTAATAGGTATTTACAATCTTGGAAGTATTTTGAAAATATCAAGATGGACTTGAAACAGCGACATTACAAGATAAAAAATGAACTTGTAGAAAAGGCATTGCCTTACGTTAAAGACATAAAGAGAAAAGTTTCTAAAGAGGCAGTTTTCGTTGGTGTTCATGTAAGACGTGGAGATATAGTGCACGAAAGAAAACCAGTAGGTCATATTCCTGCGCCAATACCCTATTTTTATAGGGCAATGAACTACTTCCGGAAACGTTATTCTAACGTTGTTTTTGTCATGATTTCTAATAGTATGATGTGGTGTCAAGATAACTTAGACGATTCTTCAAATGTCTACCATGTCGAGACTGGCGACCCTTACATAGATTTTGCCATTTTACATAAGATGGATCACCTTATACTTTCGGTGGGAACATTTGGCTGGTGGGCAGGATATTTGTCCCCAGGTACCGTTATTTTCTATAAAGGGTACCCTAAAGCAAATACCACAATGAGCATCGAGATGAAACAGACGGACTTTATTCCACGACACTGGGTCGGACTTTGATAATTTCCATATAGGTAGGACAGAGCAAACCTATCTTCAAAGCCAAAGATACCAATTCCAAATAACTACTATAATCTTGGTTATAATATCTCGGCCAACATGAATTGACAAAAACAAATTGTTCCGAGTGCGTGTGTTCAATGTTTTAGTTAATACGATGGAAAGTACACCAGAAAGCGATGCTAGAAACCGATGTACAGTGGTCAAAATCGAGTAGGTTTGCGTGACATCAGACTTGACAAAAGGGATGGACGGGTTTGCTAACTGTGAAGTGACATTATAATGCATTTAAACAATTCGCAGGATTGGTTAAGATACTACAAATGCAATTCTGTATAACAGTAATCTTCATTTTTTAAGGAGTTGTTGTGTTTTGCATTCATCAAAGCGTCTGAGCATTCTCTATACATAACACATTGACCAGTAATCTCGTTAATAACATTTATAATATCAGAGGTAACAATGTTTATATGCAGAAGAATACTTGATGATTGTTACAATAAATACTCTGTTATATTTTAAGAATATCTAGAAATAATTTTATTGTTCATAACAGCAAATGTGACGAAACACTAAAGTAATTATACTTGGACAATCTTTGTCTGATGAAATATAATACGATTTGGGATTTCTCGTCTAGCGTAAATTTATGAAAAAAAATGTATTGGATTTACGACTTTTAAAACCTTTGACAAAAACGGATATCACCATGTCTGATTTTTATTGTCTCGCCTGCGAAAAAAGTCGCAGAATGCGAGACATAGGTATTACAATCCGACGGCGGCGGTTGCGTAAACTATTTGTATAAAGCTTTATATTTCAGAAGGTACATGTAGAATACCTGGATGCTTCATACCTTGTATGCAGATACCTTGTGTCACGCATATTCCGTTTGTAATATGTCCATTGTCCTTGACCTCATTTTCATGATTCAGTGACTGCTTGAGGAAAAATAATTGCAGTTTTTTGTCAAGTGAAATACTCACTTATAATGAGTAATGGGATAACTATATTTGGTATATGGGTTCCTTGCAACGTCTACATGTTCGTCAGGTAGGGTCACCTGACCTCAACCTCAGTTCATGGATCAGTGTTTATGGTTCTTTGGGAAATGTTTAGTTTTTGTTGTTTTGTCTATTTCGCAGATACTGTAAGCAATAAGTCAATTATATTTGGTGTATGGAAAGATTGTAAGGTGTACATGTCTGTCTGGCAAGGTTCATAAGACCTTGACCTCATTTTTATGGTTCATTGGTCAAGGATTAGTTTTCGTGGTTTTTTTTCTTCAGTTTATCAGATACTATAAGCAATAGGTCAATTATATTTGGTGTGAGGAATGATTGTAAGGTGAACAGGTCTGTCTGGCAGGGTTCATATGACCTTGACCGCATTTTCATGGTTCATTGGTCAATGTTAAGATTTGTGGTTTGATCTGTTTCTCAGGTACTATAAGCAATAGGACCACTATATCTGTCTTGCACGGTTCATCTGACCTTGACCTCATGTTCATGGAATTATCAATGTTAAGTTTATGTTATACTTGTAGGAATACCTTCGTATTTAAGATTTTCAACATAAACTCAATCATAAAAAAGCAGGTGAGACATTTCAGCTCGTGCACTCTTGTTTGTTTTGTGGAAAGTAAAATTTTCAAAACCTACCAGCAAACCAGAAAGTTACATCACAAGAGTGCACACGCTGAAATGTCTCCCCTGCTTTACTGATCATAATTGAATTTATGTTGAAAGTATTTAAGATAAAAGTTTTACTACAGGTATCACACAAACTTAACATTATCAATGATAAAAAAATCAATTAAAACTTGCAACAAATAAAAAGGGCGTACGATCATCCGCTCCTAGCGCAGCTATTTATTTACTTGGTAAATGTACTTTCAACGTGAATGTGGTAAGGTAACAATCTTGCCACTTACATATGAATAAAAGAATATAAGGCGTAAAAGCATAAGTGATACAGCAATCCAAAGACACAAATGGGCAGTTAGAGGTAATCGTGTTTATATGAGCGTAATTGTAAACTACACAGGTTTAGCACACGATGATATCAAGACAAGTAAACAATGACGCTTAAAAATATACCTGGTGTAAAGGGGGAAATAATGGAGAATGAATACAATTCATTCAGGCGTTTTGAAACGAGTTTTAGATCTACATTGATAGGTGTTTTTGCACAAATGCGTAATACATATTTTATTTATTTGAAATTTGATCACCCTAAATTCACAATATAAATAGGTGCTCATTTCAATTTACTAGATCGATTGTTGCATGTTTAACGTCAAAGTGGCAAATATTTCACGCATATTCAGGACGAGAACAATCATATTGTACGAAAAGCTTGTACAATTTATAAGGTTGCAGTGTTATCATATAGATCTGTCAATTTCATTTAATAGCCTCTTTGAGATTTCAATCTTGTCCAATTAGTACAATGTCGGACAACAGAGAAAAGCATGTCTTAGTTATTTGTGACATCTGGTCGATGTGAGTCCCACATCTCCTTTCTGTTCAATCAAGTGTCTGTATCGTATGTTAAGTTCTAAATCGGTCTTGGTGAAGACAGAATGTGAAATTATACAACAGAGACCATCAAACAAATGCTATTAAAAACAAAGACAACTTGACATTTAGACAATCGAATAATCTGTAAATCTAACATGACCTACGTTTTGAGAAAAGTATAATTCGCGGAAATAACTATGATATCGACGATAGAAAAATATAAACGTGGAGGTTAAGGACAGCTTTAATATTTTCTACATAAGTTTGAAACTAAAAAAACGTTTAACTTTCTTGTATTGTATTTTATCTTTAACATATACATGTAGTTACAGAACCGAGTACTTTGTAAACGTGCATTTAAAATCGTACCAACTAGATTGTTTATGAAAATATCTGAGGTTAATTAGTATACCTAGATCAGCACTGCATGTGTACTTTTAAGCTATACGAATAAGTTCGGCTTATTTTTAGATTATAAAGATATTTTTACTAAGGCCTTAAATTGGCAGTGAAACAACCCCTCTCCAGAAAATATATTAGATAAACTGTCACGGTTCAGATATGGCAGTACATTATACATATCCAACGGGTTAAGTGTAAAGATCTCATAAACAGTATGAGAAAAGCATGACCTTGTGCAATGCCAAACTATAAGTACATGTTATCGAGAAGATGTAGGGACCATACGTTTTCAGAAATGTAAAGCAACACATATTTAGTTATGTTTTTATTGATGCATATTTTACACATTATTTATAAAATTTGAACCCAAATTTTCAATGCTTAAAGTATCAAATTTTATAAATATGTGTAAAATTGTTTTAAAATCTATAGTGTATAATACTTACTCTTTAATATTCAATTTCCAGTAGGTTTTAAGATTTGTTTTATCCTATTTGGATACAAATACAAGGAATATTTTCACTTCATTTTTGGTATATAGTTGTCCCATTGGCAATTATACCACATTTTATTTTTAAATTGAAAGGTTTTTTTAATTAGCAGAGAGGACCTCTTGCAAAACTGTACATTATTTATGGTCCCCTTTCCGACTGGAGAGTTGTCCGATTTATACATATCATACAGTTAAACAGACACCTATATCCTATTTCAAAACTCCATATCAACCTTGAGATTTTAACACTAAACATGCATTAGCCAATAGTAATACATCATTACTTGCATGTGTATACAACAGAAAATGCTCAAAAACTTTGATCAAAATTACCTTTTTTTAGTTTCCATGTTTTGCATTAGTGACCTAATTTTAAATCTGTCAAATATATCTCAAGCTGCACCCAATTTGTTCTGGCGTAAAAACATAGTTTTTCAGATCCTTTTAACGAATTTTATTTTTTCATGTTGTGGATTTCCCTCCTTGTTAAATGATGATGATGAATGGCTGCTTAACGTCAAGCGGCAAATTAATATGCATATTCAGGATGAGAAAATCTCAATTTAATATGAATATTAACCCTGATTTGTAATAGACAGACACGCTGAGCAGGATTTTTAACGTGCTAGTTCACAAGGTAACAGTCCGCATGAAGACATGTCACCTTACCCGGACGCATTATTCTGACTCCGAGCCGACCAGTCTTTGCTCTTACTCCTAAATGCAGCGTGTTTAGCGGAGAAGCAGCAAATGCCAATTTTAAAGTCTTTGGTTTCACCCGGACGGGATTCGAACCCACGACCTCCCGCACTCGAGACGACCTCGCTACCACGAGACCACCTTGTTTAAGGTTATAACTATAGATCTTCCCATAAGATGTACGGTTCTGTTCACGGGAGAATGTCATACCTGGCTTCATATCTTACTATATTGGTTGTGATTCTAATGAATATTAAAGATCACAGTCACTATAAAGAGTGAGATTTTGTTCAGTGCTGAAGCCTCTGTTACTGCATCCTTTATCACTTTTGATTTTTAGGTCAATGTTCAGGGTTACAGCAGCAAAAGATAAGCTGAAATTCTAGCAAAATTATGTTTTTTTCCACCATTTGAAATTTTGACATAAATTGTCGGCACACCAGGTAAGGGAAAAGCGGCAATGGACATTTGAGCGATAAAGAAAGGACTTTTGAGCGCCTCAGTTGACAATGTTTTCTCGGGGTAACAATCTGCTTTATCACCCTCTCAGCTATGCGTTATTTATATATTGTTGAAGGCTTTCCAAGACCCGTAGTTGTTAACACCCTTGTCATTTAGTCCTGGTGGATAGTTGTCTCATTGGCTTTCATACCACATCTTTTTTTAATTTTTGTATCAAAAAGTAAAATAAGGAGAAGTGGTATAATTGCCAATGAGACAACTATCCAACAGAGTCAAATGACATGGTTTTAAGTAATTGTAGGTCATAACACGGCCTCCAACAATGAGCAGAACCCATGCTGTATAATCAGCTATAAAAGGCTTTGACATGACAAAATGTGAAACATTTCAAACGAAAAAAACCAACAGACTGATTTACGACAAAACAATAAACGAGATATAACAGACAGTAACCAACGACAACCACTGAATTACAGGCTCCTGACTTGGGACTTGGGACTGGAACTTTGTCATTGACTGACACTTTTTATTTAATGATAGGATGATTTTATGGACGTCATTTTAAAAATGACCTATTTCACTTATCTGCAGTAAGGGAATGACCATTTGAAATTCGGGGGGAGGGGGGGAGGGGTAGGAGGATTTTTTTCCGGATTGATAATTTATTTTCATCTGTTGTTACGGGTCTTGTGCAAAGTCATTTATTTTCAGTTCTTACCAGGCCTAGTTATTCATTTTCATAATCATCCTCCCACAGAAAATCAAATGATCATCCCCTAATTGACACCGGATGCAAATACAGCAAATATATATTTCTCGAACTGAAAATACTACAGTCATTTATTTTAAATGAAATGTCAATTATCAGAAGGAAAGGATAACTGTAATAAGAAGCCCGAATCTGACTTTGCTAAAATAGCTCACTTGGTCATAAGCTTCGTTTCTCTCATGCTTTGAAAGGCCGTTGCAGTTGTGTCACATTCATCTTTTTACAGTAAATATTAAGACTAGCATTATCCAATATACAGACATACTATATACTAAAAATGTAATATTCATCCAAATTTTATTATTTTAAATTGATTTTCCAAATCCATTTTAGACCGGATTGTATTCACTGCTTTGAAAGGATCA